TCTGTTGATTGGGTTGAGATTTTGGTCATCCACTCCTTGTACCTATTATGCCCCCAAGAGTGGTCTGGTGAAAGGGATAGTTCACCGAAAAATAAAAATCTACTCATTATCACCACTATGCCTATGGGGGGGTGAGTGAATTGTTTGAGTCCACAAAACACTTAAAGGTCCAGTGTGTAAGATTTAGTTGAAAGGGATCTATTGGCAGAAATTTAATGGATAATAATCCTCACTATGTTTTCATTAGTTCATTTCATCTAAACTGTATGAACTGTAGTTTTCTTTACCCCAGAAAAGACCCTTTATATTTAAATACTTTATATTTACATCGAGGGGGTCCTCTCTACGGAGGCCGCCATGTTTTTTGCAGTCAGACTACAGACTAAACAAAGTAAACACCTTTTGAGTTTTTATGACAATTAAAGGCTACCACAGTTTCTTCTTCATGTTTGGAAGGAGAGGGTGAGGTGAGGGGTGTTCAGCTGCAACATGAAACTTCAACACTCGATATCACTAAATTCTACACACTGTAACTTTAAGGAGTTTTAGGGCTGAACAGTGTTTGAGCCCAGGTCAACTAGTCGACTTTAAGAACTACAATGACGTTTTGTGTGTGACGTCGACCAGTCGGCGATCATGTGACTTTGCCAGTACAACATGTACGCCTCAGAGTAAACAACAGGTGAGRAGGCTGGAGGGTCTGTGCAGCAAACTAGCAGCGGTGTGTGGAAATACATTATATGTGGACTTGATGCCTGGTTCAAGCATATTCAGTTCATCCCGGAGGGTAAAAAAAAGGCCACCCAGACCCACATTAACGCCCTACTTGAAGAAGAGGGAGAGAAGCTGGCAGCGACAAAAATGAAATTAATCCAACCTATTGATTTAGATTGTCTTCTATTTCTGAATGCAAGGCCTTGGTAAACTTGGTTATTCATTTTAATATAGGTGAGGAGGTGGATGACAGGGAGGGAGAGCCAGTGAGGGGGAAAAAAGCCAGACTCGAGCAGGAGAGAGTGGACACAGAGCCAGTAATCAGTGCACTTGCAAATTCCCACCATGCAAAACCTGCTGCAGTGGTGGGCCCAGAGTGAGGACAGATTCCCCCGCTTGGCTAAATTCGGAAAGCGTTACCTGGCTGTTCCAGCCACCAGCACGCCGAGYGAGAGGATTTTTTCTCTGGCTGGAAATGCCATCACGCGACAGCGGGTGAGCCTTCATCCTGCCCACGTCGATGCCCTTGTGTTTTTACACGCAAACCAGGATCAAAAAACAGGAGCTGTGTCTGAGCAGGACTTTGATAGTGGT